GCCAGAAATACTCATTTAGCTTGGTAGAGCTGAAAGAGAAATGACTCATGACACCCACTAACTTGCTGTGAAGTCTGCAGACAAGGACCTGCTCTGTCCTCCAAGAGGCCTACCCAGATATTACGTGGACTTTGTAGCAGGGATCTGATAGGGATCTGAATCAGAGTGGTCTGCTTTTACTTTCACCTGTGCCACGTCTAACAAAATGAAAAAAGTGTCATGGGGGGGGACCCTAAAATAATGCTCCCAATTACAGAAAAATCTGGAATTTAACAAAAGGAAAATTCCTAAAAAAAAAAAAAAAAAAAGAATAAATAATGACACTGGAAGGCTGGTCTTTGATCCACTCATTCCTGGGACATTTGAGACTTCCCTGGTGAAGGCACAGTCTGCTCGACACACTAACAGCTGCAGGAGAGAGAAATCATGTAAATGTATTTGCTCGGGTGAAAATCACCCAGCGATAGTGTTCTAGGGTTAATACAGATCAATTCAATAGCAACAAATCACAGCAACAATCACCTGAAGGCGCTTTGTATTGCAAGTCGTTTGAAACTGTAATCAAACAACCCTATGAACAAGCACTTTGTCAACAGCGGGGAGGAAAAACTATCTTTTAACAGAACCAGGAAGGGGCAGCAATCTCTGACCGGTTGGAGGTGAACACGTTTTGTATTTGTGTCTAGAAAACAAGCACTATAGTAAAACACCAGCACTCTTATCGTCACAGTCATAACTGCAACACACGTCTGCCAGCATACTCGGACCTGTATCTGTGTTTACAAGCACTCTCACAAACACACATACACATTTGGTTACACTTTTCACACTTTGGTGAGCCACATTTAGGTCATCAAAATAACCGGCAAACCACACAGTGCAGGTGGATGGAAAGCCCCCAGGTGGAGAGACCAGAGATGACGAGAACAACTGGGGAGTAAAAGAAGGGCAGAGAAAACAGACATTTACAACCAACAGCTTCAAAAAAAAAAAAAAAAACTCAATGGTGGGCCTCTTTTCCCTCAGGCTCACCTCCTCGTAGTCCTCCACCTCCTCCCCATTAACCTCTCCACTCTGCCCTTTCTTCTTTGATTTCTCTACTAAAGCCCTCTCTGATCCTTCTCTTTATTAAGGCTGATAATACGCACAGAAAGCAGATGCAAACAAACCTTTCAAGCAATTCAAACACAATTTATTTGCATGGCGATCACTTTGACAAAACCAAGGCTATCACATGTTCTCTTTTTGCTCCCCCCTCTCCTCCCCATCCCCCGCCCGGCAGTCTGTGGGTGACACAGACTGATGACATCACGAACAGCCGGTACATTCAGCCAGTAAGATCACAGCAAAGCTGGTGGTGCTTACATTACTCCCCCTGTCTCTTTCTCTCGTCTCTCATTCTGACGCTCCCCTGCTTTGCCGCCTCTCTCTCTCCCTCACACACACACACACACACCGTCTCTCTCTCTCGCCCTCATTCCTCCGCACCGCTGCAGACATGGTCGATGCTTTCGTTGGCACATGGCTCCTCAAGGAGAGCGATAAATTTGACGAATACATGAAAGAGCTGGGTAAGTGTTCCGTGTATTTCTATTTCTTTCTTCTTCTGTTTTTTTTAATGCGTGCACATTGCGCAGGGGAGTGTG